TACTTGCCATACCCTAGATACGCCACTGTGTCTACTTTTCAGGATAACCTAAAAATTAAGGGAAATTTTTCAGACACTGAAAGTTGGGAAATCAAAAAAAATCAGGGAAATTTTTAAATTTCGTAGAAAGAAAAATTCTGGTTAACAATTTCATTTTTAAAATTACATTACCAGAAAAAAATGTATGGTAAAAACAAAGAACCTTGATTAATTAAATATAGAGTTATGGCTAATTGCCCTCATAATGGAAAGAAAAAACAATTTTTAACTGCATGTAAAATTTTTATTTTGACTTGACTTAACTCATTCCGCAATAATATGGACATAAATAGTTCTGCACCAAATATAAATTGTTTTGATGTACCTTGCAGTTTTGAAATTTTTCTGCTTTGCGGGATGAATGGTAACCACTGTTCCAATTTTTTTATTTTTAATATCACTAATTTTAGTTACTTTTCATCTACCTTATTAATTATTTCAACGTTTCAATTTTTTTTATGCATGAAAAAAAATTTATTTTTCAGTGTAAGTTCTCGCCAGCAGGAAAGATGCTCAAACAATTTATCCCATCAATTTAAATTTGGTCTAATTTCATTTAGCCTAAAAAAATGTACACAGGAAATATTTCATTTAATGGGATAGCAATGTTAAAAAGTGCATGAAAGGGTATAAGTCTTAACATTCTATTTTTTTATACATAAAACCATAATAACTTTTAAACTATATGTCCTATCTCTAATGTGATGTTATTCAATTCAGCTGACAAAATTGAAAAAAATACCTAATGTGTTTAGAATGAAATATTTAAATTATTTCTCCCTTCCAAATTTTGGTAATCAAATTTGTACTACATTTTGCCACTGACTAAGAGGAGGGTACATAACAGTTTATCGCTGCGTAAAACCTTTCCTAATTCTAGCATAAACCCTATTTTTATTGTCATTGTCAGATGTCTGTCCGGACCGAATTTACTACTGTTTAGCGGTACCTTCACTAATTCAACTTTAGGAAAAACGGTAGTTTCACAAATTTAATTTTAGGAAAAACGGTAGTTTCACAAAATACTTTTTCTTAAAATTTTATTTTTGTATTCTTTAAGAAATGATAAATCCATATTCTTGCCATATTTTTGTGTTGGATTTTTAAATATAATTTTTCACAAATTATGTCTAAATTTTCACAAAATAGGTACCTCTCAGAAAAACCTAGACAGACCCCTGATAATAGTTTCATGTCTGTATAAGTAGAGCTTTAAATTTCTAAATTCTTGATTTATCTTCTTTTCGCAGACATCTATGCTTCATCATCCTATGCTGGTTCTCACAGCTCTCGTTATTAAGAAAGCTTAAAGAGTTTATAATGGTGAGTTGCATTAGTGTAAAGTATGTTATTGTAATTTAATTGCTGAAAATATTGTTCATTTTCCATCTTATTTTTCTTCTATATCTGTATATGTACTACTTATGCAATAGAAGGCATAAGAAGTTAATATATACTTTTGGTATTCAGTCATTTTTTAAAGAAATACTAAAACGATTTTTCTAACCCTAAGTTCACATAAATATGAATATTAATGAATTTTTTATCTGCATTTTACAAAATATGATCTCTCGAGTTGGATTGTCCTCTTTTCAATGATGATTTTTGTTTAAAACTTAAAAAGATATGTAATCATGTCACTTAATGACTTTTTTTTAAAAAAATTCTCACATTTGATTCTTCAATTCTGTTTGAACTTCATCTTTTTAATATAATTTTTTTGGATATGTTTAGATTTACCTTTTAATTATATTAATTTTGAAAAAAATAAAAGGTTTGTAATCTTTCACATTTTGTAAATTTTCTTTCAAAAATTGATTTCCTAAATTCATTTATAAATATACAATGACTTTGTTTTATTTATATTTCTTTTTGATCCGTACACATGTGTCTAGGAGCATAAGCACTTAGGTGCAGAAATTAAAATTTAGTCAATATTTCCGAGAACCAGTAACTTCAAGATAGAGTAGAATATCTATATAATGCCCTTTTGGCAGAATTTTTTTGGACTTTTCTGCAACAATTCTCTCTAGTACTAATACCTTTCTGAAAGACATTTTTAATCGTAGCAAATATATAGGTTACTAATTTAAAGTAAGAGAAGCCTTTACTGTTTACAGAAGAAGCCTTCATGTATAGAATAGAACAGTATATATATTTTTTAATTACAAACGAAAGAATATTTTTAAAATCTAAATATAAAAGAATACATATTCTAATATTATTGGCGATATTCTCCTGTTCTAAATAATATTTGTATAGTTAACCTTTTTTGAATTTTTGCTATTTGAAAATTTCTTCTTATATTATCAATCTGAAATTTGAGCTCAAGCCAGGTATTGCAGAGGTTTTTTAAAATCAGGCACATTTATTCAACATTAGATATGCGTGAAAAGAAATTTTTTCAATATAATTCTGCAGAAAGGGGAAAAAAAGCTCTGCAGAAAAAAATATATTGAAAAATTCTACAGATAAAAAACCCAGACTTCTTTGCTTTCCAAATAAAAAATATTTCTGCCTGAACTCTGTAATGTTCTGCACCAATGTCGCCGTGTAGCAACGATTCTGCCATGGGGTATAATGCAATTCTATACACCATACTAGTTGTCAGTGTAAACAATGAAATTCACAATTAAGAAATTTCTATGACTAAGCAAAAACTAGAAACATTTTTTTTACATTTGTTTAATTATTTGCTAAGGTTAAAATTTCAAAAGCTAAGCAAACTGAAGTTCACTTTATTGCTAGTTCTTAATGCTGCAGAAAATTTAAACTTTTTCTGTAAATAATTAAAATTTAAGTACATATTTTGTGTTTTTTAGTATTTGTAACTAAAAATTATTTTAAAGCATCTTAAGATTGATCTATTCCAGACAAATATTTTCTGTTTGCTAGGTAAGTTTAAAAATGGGTAAAATTATATATGTAATGCAAAATTCCATAAAACACAAAGCCCCAGGTTCTAAGGTTGAATAAAAATCTACTTTATTTCTAATCTGTACACATTTTCACTGGTCTATTTGCATGTCCTTGTTATATTAAAAAAATAAATAAAAGTTAATTTAAATTAAAAATTTCAATGCAGAGAATGTCCACAATTATATTGAAATATGTTATTTTTTTAAACAAACAAAATGTAGAGCAAAACACAAACAGTTGACATGAACCGCTAGTTCAGGGAGCCAGTGATAAATATTTTATAGTGGTGGTCCGAATAAAATTTCAGTGGCTCCGAACTAATGGACCACTGTTTATATTGTGCTCTTTAATTTAATTTTATTTCAAATTTGTAGCCTCAACAGTGGAGATTTATCGCTATGTCAATTTCTAAAGCTTTTAGTTAGTTTGGTTAAAAATTTAGACGCTTGTGCTTAATTGTAACATTTGAAAACTATACTATCATCAGTTCTTTTTGTTCCAGAAAAGAAATAGTCCTGTGATATCATCTTGTCATTTCACGAACAAGCTTAAATACTTGGATTACTGTATTCTTTATTATACTTAAGCATTTGATTGAGGCAACTTTATTCTTTTGTTGAAGATGCTTTCAAATAAAGTCTTCATTTACATAATTTTTTTAGTATTTTAAAAAATTGTTTTTAAAATAGTACATTTTATTTTCAATGAAACAGCAACAAATGTTGTTAATTTTATTTTTACTTATATTTTTGTTTTCATTCAGTTTTATTTTGATGCAGTTTAGTTAATTATGTTTATGGTGACTCAACAAGTTTTATTTTAGTTTCTTTTATGGCCTCACAATTTTTTTTAAATATTATGATAAGAATAAACAATAATTTTGTTTATATATTTCATTTTCTTTTATTGTTTAATGCATAGTTTAATAATTCCTATGCTGAAAAAGTGTTTTGTTTTATTATTGTTGAAGATACAACAATTTATAATTTTAGTTTGATGGCCTTTAGTGTCTCATAAAACACTTTAAGTATGCACTACTATGAATTTTTGAAAGTAAATAGTGTTGTGTATTTTCTTTTTCTTTAGTTGATTGCTATGTTAAAATTATATATTTTAGTTGTGTAATTTTTTATGGTTTTTTCCTTCTTTTCCTTTTAGAATAATAGTTATTTATCTCCATCATATAAAGATATACGCTTGGAGATTCTAAATTCGTCAAAAAGAAAAATATCACTTGTAATAGTCTCCTATAACTCAAGCATTTTTCTCACATTTTTAATTGTTTTCTTTTATTTATTTGAAATGAAAAACTATTGAAAACTGTGATACGTTTCACATCTCATTTTTGAACTGATTCGAAAAAGTCTTTTGATAGAAAATTATAGTTTTATAATAATAATACATAATAAACTTTCTTAAAAAAATATTTAAGCATTTTATATTGCAGTTTACACTAGCAAAATTTATTTTGTCATAAAAACTAAAAATTGGCCTTTTCGTTGTATTAATTAAATAATTAAAATTTGAATCAATGTATTAACAATTTAGTATTTTTATAAGAAGCCATTCTTAGAGTCTCTCCTCTCTTAATCATTTTTAAAGTTTGGTGTTAATTACCTAGTCATTAAATAATTTCATACTTAATTAAATAAATTTTTCTTAACACCGTTCAGAGTCTCTAATAGTGTTATATTGAAATATTTTTGGGATTGATATTGATTTATAAAAAGAAATTTCTCTTTTAACTTATTATCTGAAATAAATTTGAATTTTAAAATTATTATTTTGAGAAGAGGGCAGGAGATAGTGGTATTTTTTTGCTTTTTAAATTTTTCTGCTGTTAAGAATTTAATATAAACTTCTGTTCTTATAAATAACGCAATTTATAAATTCTGTATCTTTAATTACACATTAACTGAATAAGAAATGCTCAAATGAACGAAGACATAAAGTACAAGAAAGCTTCTGTGTTGCTCTCTCATCTTGACCCCAAAAAACCTTTACTGTTACACATATTTATGTAAACAAAACCCTTCATTGGTATTTTTTTTTTTAAAGTTAAACATTTAAACAGCATCCCTTTGATATTTTTAAATTCACAAATTTGGTGCTAAATACATTTACCCTGGCCATATAAAGGGTTAACTGTGATTCCACATTATTTTTATAATGTTTATTTATATTTCATTAAGATTTTTATTTTGGAGATGTTATAGATATTTTCCTCAGATTCTTATTTTTCTAAGTATTGTCTAACTGAAAAATATATGTAATAAAACATCTTGTATGTGCATAGTGGTTATTTTTCAAATCTTGTACACAGTGTTACTATAGTAATGTTCACAACTATAAGAGATTATAGTACTTGCCTAAACAAATTTCATCATCTAAACTGGGATCAAAAATCAAAAGGGTGATTCACTGGAGGTAAGATATAAGAAAAAATTCAAGAATTTTTTTGAAAACTTTACAAGCAATTGCCCAAATGAGTGACCACAAGTTTCAACTCAAGTTTCACATTCCCTTAGATCAGTGTTTCCCAAAGTGTGGTCTGCGTACCCCCAGGGGTGCGGGAACAGTTAGGGGGTACGCGTTCAAATGTGAAATATCTTGCAACAAACGAAACTTTCAAACAATTTTATTTAAAAACAAAGCTGGCCGAGAAAATTTACGATTAGATATTTTTCTATTTGCTATTTTTTGCAGAGTTAACAGTTAATAATTAGTGGTGTCGACAGCCAATTGTGATATTTAACTTTTGTGCAATTTTTTTTATCACAGCAGTTGTTATCGCAGCAAAAACAATATCATCCTTCTCACTGATGCAAATAAACTTATTAACAAAACTTTGTACCGAAAAAGAAGAATAAACATATTTTTTAAAAAAATGCATTCATTTTTTATTAGTGGTGTACAGCATTACGAAAAATTTAGAAAGGGTACTCAAAAGTCATAAGTTTGGGAAACACTGCCTTAGATGCTGAAAAACATTTCAGTTACGTGTATTGCACCTGTGATGCTAACAGTGTCCTCTTCAGATTGGATTGGGTCTCATAAACAATACTTTTTAGATGTAGGTTCTAGTAAAAAGAAATTTGCAGAACTAATGGAAGTTTTGGGAGATCAAGAAACCCATTCACCACTGCCAATCCATCAGTTTCATAAGGCTATTTCCAAGGCTAACAGAAGTATGTCATAGCTTACTGTTTGCTTTTCGACTGTACATTTTTATTCATAGCGAACTGAAGATTTTTTCAATGCGTGTAGGACCTCCTTTGGTGACTGAAATGTGATTACTTGCTACTAAAATAAGGATGATAGCTACTTTTTTTTAAAAAATGAGAAACAGCTGAAAAGCATCTATGTTTTAAATAAATCTTCAACTGATTTAAAATTAAATTTAAACCTATTTATTAACAGAAAATTTTTTATTTTATTATTCAGTTTTTGAGGAGTTAATTTTTTTTATCGTGCTATTTTTGCTAAATATATTTTGTTATATTTTTTAAAAAATGTTATTTTAATTGCTATTCTTACATGGATATAAAAAAATAAGTAGTAATTTTAGTAAGATATAAATATTGTCGAGCTATTTATATTTTATGTTATTTTAGTTATTTATATCGAGATATTTATATATATTATTATCGAGATTTTATTCGAGACACAGCTAAAAAGGCATGTTTAAGAAAACGAATCAAACTTGAAATACGTGTTTGAGAAAATGGACATAGCCCAAAACGCATGTTTATGTAAATGGACTCAGACAAATACAAGTCTGTAACCCAATCAGAATTTCAGGCATAAAACGTGCAGTATTTTGAATTCTCCATTAATTTTTTTCTCCCAAAATTATGCCAATGCACTTGTGCAATCAACAGTTTTTCAAAGATCTTTAAATAATAAACAGTTATTAGATTTTTTTTTCATAAGTAACTGTTTTTATGCAATAAAGGTGAAAAGTAATTTTTAACGTCATTCAAATCGCATTTCATCAGTTAAAAAGATTAGAATTTAAAAATTCTAAAAACTGAGATCTTATTTTATTGCTTTAAAGTTTTAAGCAAAAATTCATAGAAGTTCTAAAAATTATCGAATGTTATTTTTCCTAACCTAATAAAGGAACCCTTTTATTTTCTACCTCTTTGAAAGGTATTGTGCTGTCTAATAATACTACATCATTGTTTAGTACAAAAAAATATTTAAAAAACACAAATTAAAAATTTGACTTAGAATCCGAGATTGTAGAGACCTCTTAATTTATAACTTTTTCATATAAAATAAAATTGTAAAGCAATTTAAACTTATAAAAACTAGCTAAATGATATAACAATTTTAGAACATGTATGCTTGAACGATATAAAATTACCAACATAACTAACTCGTAAGAAAATGTTTTTCTCGCTGCAGTAGCAATATACAAAAATTAATAACTTATAAGTTCATATAACTGAAGAAAGTAGAGGGAAAAATATTTTTGTGTCATAAATTTCTCTATTACCTTAAACTTATTAATATTGTTTTTACAAAAGTCAAGGTCAAATAAATATTAATAGGAGCTTTTATAATATACAACGCAAATTTTTAAAAAATTATTTTTTATCATCGTGAAATTTTCCGATCTTAAAACTACCTCAGAAATTTTTTAATCGTCACTACATGAAAAACATCTGAAATTTTTTTAATCAAAAAAAAATTAGGGGTGCAGAAATAAAGTTTTTTTAAAAAAAAAAAAAAAAATCTAATGTATAAGTTGATGTTAAATATTTTGGCCGACCTTTGACACCTGGGCGGATAGCTTCGACGTAGATCATGACGTCAAGCATCATCCTTCCCAGCGTTATAACGTTGTCTTGAACGTAGATTGATATGTTTCTCGTCCAATTTTTATAGCTAAAAAATTCATTAAAATATATTAAGGAGCTGATTTGGAAAGAAATAAACGATTTGATGCAATAGAATCATTGATTATTAGTTTTGTAACACCCCGCTAGTGTATTCTGCTTTCTCAAAATTATAGAGAAATCCTCTAGTCGACTTACGACAGTTAAACATTTCTCTAGTTGGTTTTGTTTTGTTGTCTAGTTGGTAGAGCGTTTGCCTTCCAATGAGGCCAACCGGGTTCGAAACCCAGCGATGGCTGATTGATACGAATTCCGCATCCGGCTTGCGCTGACCACAGTGCTGACGTAAAAAATTCTCAGTAATAGATGGATCATGGGTATGAATCCCCTTGCCGTCACGCTAACCATGGGAGGTTTTCGTGGTTTCCCTCTCCATGTAATGCAAGTGCGGGGTAGTTTCATCAAAAAGTTCTTTCAATACTTGATCCAGGAGTTCCCTTGTCTTCTGGATTAGGTTCAAAATGACAAAGCTACGGAGTTGAACATTAGTAATCGTAAAAGCAAAAATTGGGTCGGCCGTTTAACGACGGTAAAATAAAATAAAAAAACAAATATCGGGCTATTAATAAATAAATCGATATATATTTTCAGTCGGACTTTGTTTCTGAAATTTTTTTTTCTTCAAATAGCTGGATAATTGAAGAAAAATTTTACCATTATTATTTTTTCTGCTAGCTAGGTCTATGCTGTTATTAACTTTTTTTTTACTGTGGAAAATTATGCGTCATAACTTTTTATTTTGTTTCCACATTTGATTGGATTGATACGCGTAAGCAGAACTGATGAATAAATTTGATTTTTGTGAAGGGATCGCATTTTCGTCGCCATAACTAAAATCAGCATTTCTTCACCCCATATTTAACTTTAAATCACATTGATTTATTGAGAACAAAGTTTTTTTTTCTTCATTTACTCTTTATTTATTCATTCACTATTTTTAAGCAGAAATGTTTAAAATTTAGTAGTGATTATAAGGGAAAAAATTTAGGAATCTAAAATGAAATATTTTTTTTAATGTCAATAGCAATATATCGTTTAAAATTAATTATAAAAAAATATCAATTAAATATAAAAAACTAAAAATCTCAGAAGTTTTTTAACTTGACCATCAATTGGGTTTAATGCGTATTCGAGCGGGTAATTTAGCTTAAACAATTTTTATTAAAATTTCAAATGTCTCCTTTCAAAATTTTGATCCTTCTGAATTTATTAATTTGTGAAGGAAAGATTTTTAACAATTCACATATTTCAAAATTGTAATATTTATATTAAATGTATTTAGCCTCCCCAAATATTGTTAAATAAAGTTTTAAGTCAATATTGTAAACTAATTATATTTTTATATCTAATTGTATTATTATATACTAACTATATATATAGTAAACTAATTAAATAATTAAACTTATTATTTTTATTGTTGAATAAACTTTTTATAGCTGTAGATTATTTCTAATATGATTTTTTTTTAAATATAATTTTATACGAAAAAAGTTTGTTTCGATATAAAAAAAAAAAAATATGGTGGCTATAAGGAAAAAAGTAGCTACCAGTTATTGGAGTTTACCGGCCACTGGCTGGTAACTGAAAATTAAAATTTTCTGGGCTAAAAAAATAATTTTTGTTTTTAGGTTCAATTAATTATTTAATTTTTCCTTTTCTTCTTTTTTTTAGAAAATTAAAAGTTTTAAATGATAAATTAAAGCTGATATTTAAAAATTAAAAGATTAATACTTTTGACCTAAAAAATAGGCCTTTTTTTAGCGCATTCATTAGTATGAAAGTCTTAACCATTAGGGGAAAAAATGAAATTATCTTCAATGTTTTTTTAAAAAAATGCAATTTTTATTGATATCTTTTAATGCATTTCTTAATAAAAAAATGAAAATGGTAACAACTATAAAAACTCTCATTTTTTTTATTTTAAAGATATTAAAGCTTAAACAGGCCGGGATAGCCTGGTTGGTAGGGCTCTGGGCCCATGTTCGTGGGTTTGAACCTCGCCGGCCGAAGACTGTGTTGCAAAATGGTGACTGATGCACGTTAAATCTGTCGAATCGCAAAGTTCTCCATGTTCCCATAACAAATCAATACCTCTGGGGTTACTGGATTGGAGATCGATCGTTCTCTGATCCAGGTCAAATTTACGATCTGTGGATGGATGTATATGGGCGCCGCCCTATAAACGGGTGTGACGTGTGTGTGTCTGAAGACGAATTCTTGGCCATAGATGGCTCCACTGAAAAACAAGAAACGCACCCTCTACCTTAAATTTGCTCGGTTTCACCGAGCAGGTTAGCTAGTGTGGCAAGTGACATTAGAAGCAGCAAAGCTTAAACAGCAAATTCTGTGATAGATCCTGAAAATCGTGTTCCGAAAATTTATTCTCTATTTTTTATTGAAACCCGTTATCTTATTAAATTGAGTGGAGTAATTAAATTTTAATTTTGTAGTAAAAAAATAAACGTAGACTAGATACATTTTTTTTTTTACGTCCCGCAGTGGACTGATCGTTAAGACACGGTTCCCAGCAGATCACCGAAGTCAAGCATCAATGGCTGCGGGTGGGTGACCACTTGGATCAGCCTGCGTAGGTACCGAGGGTGTGCGGTATTGGTCCTCGTTAAACTGTTCTACCGTAAAGTGCTCGACTTCGCGTGCAGGTCGTCGGGCTACCGAAGCGGGGTGCCATCCCCTCCGCAGAGGATCAAAATTGTGATGGCATGTCTTCGGATCATCCTCAGGGATGTTTCCCAGACCGTCGCCAATAACCCATTGTGCAGCTCTAGTGCGACGTAAATAAACAACAACAACGGATAATTTTTTTTATATCTGTGCTCTAAAAAAATTCTAACGAAATTATCTCTCGTAATTAAAAATTTATTCTCTATTTTTTATTGAAACCAGTTGTATAATTAAATTGAGTGGAGTAATTAAATTTTAATTTTGTAGTAAAAAAATAAACGTAGATTAGATAATTTTTTTTATATCTGTGCTCTAAAAAAATTCTAACGAAATTATCTCTCATAATTAAAAATTTATTCTCTATTTTTTATTGAAACCCGTTATATAATTAAATTGAGTGGAGTAATTAAATTTTAATTTTGTAGTAAAAAAATAAACGTAGACTAGATAATTTTTTTTATCTAGCTCTAAATCTAGCTCTTTATCTAGACTAAATAATTTTTTTTATCTGTGCTCTAAAAAAATTCTAACGAAATTATCTCTCATAATTAAAAATTTAGACTAGATAATTTTTTTTAAAAATCTGTGCTCTAAAAATTATAACGAAATTTTCTCTCATATTTAAAAATTTATTCTCTATGTTTTATTGAAACTCGTTGAATTGAGTGGAGTAGTTGAATTTTAATTTTGTAGTTAAAAAATAAACGTAGACTAGATAATATTTTTTATATCTGTGCTCTAAAAAATGATAACTATCTCTCATAATTAAAAATTTATTCTCTATTTTTTAGAAAATTTTCAAATTTAATTTTATTATAAGTCCTGCGTAATAAATTATTTAGAAAAAAGTTTAATTAAAAAAAAAAAAGATAATATTTTTTATATTAAATTGTACGAGCAAGCAATTTTTTTCTATAAATACATTAAATTTCTATTCACCGTTAATCGCTGAACATTTCATAGAATCCATAAATACTGGCATAGAACTGACAGATGTCAATTGCAACTTCCAGTGAAGCCTGAAAAAAAGAAAAAGCAATTTCCGTAAATATTGGCATCATTTTGGCGCAGTTGGCGGCTATTAGTTGACCTTCAGTCTGTGAATAGAAGAAGAGCAGTGAACGAGATCCTTCATCTCGTGGAGTGAAACGAAGAAAAAGAAACCAACCCACTGCAAACGTGGTGCCTTTTATGTTGAATCTGTTATAGAATATTTTATATTGGTTTTAATGACAATATTTTAATCAGACATGGCTGGTGCTGGAAAATTTTTTTACAATTTATTGTTGATGTTTTATTATTGGATCGAATCCATTGTATTAGCGTTCGTTCCTAAGCGACTTCGGTATAAAAGTATAGCCGGCGAAGTAGTCCTGATTACGGGAGGCGGTAGCGGAATAGGGCGTCTACTTTGCCTTCGTTTTGCTAGCCATGGGGCTAAAATTGTTGTGTGGGACTTGAACTTGGATGCAGCTCGTGAGACAACTAAGATGGTTCGAGAAAAAGGAGGTGAAGCTTTTGCTTTTCATTGTGATGTTTCAAAGCCTCAAAATGTATATGAGGCTGCAGCCAAAGTAAAAAGGGAAGTAGGTAAAGTGACAATTCTCGTGAACAATGCCGGTATTGTTACCGGAAAACGATTCCTTGATTGCCCGGATCATATGATTATTAAGACTTTTGAAGTGAATGCCATGGCTCATTTCTGGGTATGTGCTTTATTTTATGTTAATTAATTTGAGTTCATATATTAATTCAATATTATTCCACTTTTTTTAAAAATAATATTCAGTATACTAAATTATTATTAGAATAATATTCAGTATACTGAATTATTATTAGAATAATATTCAGAAAACTAAATTATAATTAGAATAATATTCAGTATACTAAATTATAAATAGAATAATATTCATTATAATGAATTATTATTAGAATAATATTCAGTATACTAAATTATAATTAGAATAATATTCAGCATACTAAATTATAAGTAGAATAATATTCATTATAATGAATTAGAATAATATTCATTATACTGAATTAGAATAATATTCATTATACTGAATTAGAATAATATTCATTAGGCTAAATTATAATTGAACAATATTTAGTCTTTTTTTAAAATTGGAATAGTATTCAAATTTTCAATTAGGATATTCCAATTCTATTCGGATAATTATCATTTCTTTTTATTTGAATTTTATTACAATATTCCTATATGCATAGCAATTAATTTTTTTAAACTTGAATTATTCAGTTTTGATATCGAAATGCTATTTGAATTTCTAATTCCACTTTTATTGAGCATTTGAGGCAAAAGTTGGAATTTTCTAATTGAAAGCTAACCATAACCTAAGTACAGTCTAAAAAATGGATCATCATAATATTTATAAATATTTTTTTTTAAAAAAAAAGATAAATTATTACTTTAAAGATAAAATATCTCATTTTTTATACCAGTTTAAAATTTGCTTTTATCCACGAAATTACAATAACGAATTACAATACTTACCATTTCGTTGCCATGGTAACGTTCACTGCTTGCGTAAACAAGTGACTTTCTCTTCAGATGACAAAGAAGGAAATTTGAGTTGTATCTTTTTATACATTAGGCCATAACTCTTAAGTTTTTTTTATATTCCATAGATTGTTTTCGAATGTTACAGTTAATAGAAATATCTTTTTATTTATATTTAGTATAATAAATAAAATTATTAATCTAACGTTTACAAAACTTTTATTTCCTTATAGAATAATATAAACGCCAAAATTGTTCTGATCTGTATATTATAAATTTTTACAAAATCTGCTTAAGCTGTGCTTTTTTTTCTTGTCGTTACTTTAAATTTTTGCTTTCAATTAAGAAAGACATTTCAAATCAAGGTACTTCTAACATACCAATTTATTCAAACTAAAGAAACCGGAATAATGCGTACATTGCATTAAATATTCCTAATTTTAAAAAAATGATTTTTTTTTAAAATTAATACGTTATTTTTAATATAAAAATGAAAATAATATAATACTGAAAATTTGTATGGTATACCAGTAATACTTGGTTGATTATCTATCGCAGTATTATTAACCGCGATATGTAATCCACGGAGAAAAAAAGCAAGCATAAAGTTGCAGGTTCTAAGTTGAATAACTTGTTTACATAAAACAAGCTAGACTATAAATTATCAACTTAGTTTTCTCAATGATATTTAAACAACTATCATTTGCGAACTTAAATGCGTAATCGTGTTATAGATAATTTTATTCCTCCTGGTTTATCAAAAACAATTTTCTCATAATGTTTTTATTTTTTCAAAGGTAATAATTTTGGGTATATCTAAGAGATTTTTTAGTATTTTACGTAATCATTGTCAGCAAAAATATGAAAACCAAACGCCCTCAGGTGCTTACGTAATATTTAAGAATTAATTTTTTTTTTGTTATTGTTTTTAACTTTTTGATAATTGTAATGTTGATAGTTATAAGATTTTACTTTTTTTTTTTTTTATACAAAAATATCTCTGTTTATTAAAACGCAAGATTTGATGCCACCGCTAATTTGGGTGTTCAACTTCACTTTGCATACTGTTTTAAGCGATAGATATTGTTTATACGTTGCATATTGTATCACGTTGCTTATTGTTTATGTATGACTTGGTATCTTGAAATGATGGAGTGTAGAAGAATACACAGGGAGAATGATAGAACAAAAAAAAATTGCATTCGGTAATTATTTTAAAAATATTAATGCTACATAAAATTTGTAGTAAAATATACCATGCTGGCTGCAAAAATACAACCACAGAGTTGAGATTTTACGTGCTGGAAGGTGCCATTTTTCTTTATGAACTTAATTAGAGCTCTTATAGAATTTAGAACTTGCGATTTTTAGAACTTTTTTGTGATTTTCAGAGCTTTTTTGTTTTACGTTACATTTTTTTTTGTTGTGCAAAAATTTTAATACTTGGAAATTGCAAATGTGTGTAGAAAATGTACTACGACTACGATGGAATAAGAATAAAATTAAGATTATAGGCTGGAGAATTATCAACTGTTAAACTTGTAGTAAAAAATCTACTTCTATCTCTGAAATAGCTTTTTTCATTTCTGAACATCCGCTCACGAGTTTTTCCTTTTTCGGAAATCAGCGCAAGTATGTGCTTTTTCGCGAATATTTTTTTCCCTTTTTTTGTTACTTTATGAATGAATTTAAATGAAAAAAATATGAATAAGTAAATATAAAACTAATAATAAAAATAAACTATTGAGAGATGAAATATTTCTAGATTTAAATCTTATCAGTTGTCTTGAAATTTTTAAAATTGTAAAAAATTTTCGAGAGTTGAAAACCGTTGCCAATTTTAACTTTGATATATAATTTTAGGTTATCGTTATATATTACTACATATCATTATATATCATTATATTTTAGGTTGTAATAAAATTAATTATTGCTTCGTATCGTGTCCTATATTCTGTATTTTTACGTTAAATATATTTTTTAAGTACAGTTGATTATTTTTCAAACCAGTTTCATTTAATTTTTAATCGTGACGTTCATATTGTTACGATTAATATTAATACGAAATTTTTATCGAACTTTAAGGTAAGAAAAATAAACAATGATGAATGAGATGAGGGGAGGATACAAATTAGAAACAAAACGTAAGGAAATTATGTAAGAAAATGTATTTTTTGGATACTTTTTAAAAAAAAAAAACTTAGCTTCACACTAACTTTAATTTCTTTGCATACCATAAATAATTTAAATTGATTAAATTAAAGCCGTTAACCTTTTATCAAATGCTTTAAAACTAGTTCTCGAAGCAAGAAAATTGTATTCCTCCGGTTTTTATCCCCCCCCCCTTTTTATACATTTATTTTTTACTGCAAAATTTAAATATTAGACTTTATATGCCCTTAAAAGATTATAATTATATGTGTATAATTATCTCAGTATATAAAATACTAAGAAACTCTTTCGTGGTTATTTTTGTGTTTTAAAAAAAAGTTGGTTTTGATTTTTTTAAAAGAGTGAAATACAGTTTTTATATAAACGAGTCTTTATTTCTATCTTTATTAAATTAGTTGATAATCTGAGAAAAACAAACCCTTTTTTTTTGAATAAATAAATACAATAAAAATATTCAGAACAATATGACCAAAATCTAAAAAATATTTGTGCAAAAGGAAAATTATGTAAAGCATTGTATGTTAGAATTATAATATATTATCTATTCATGTTAAATAAATCATGATTAAACTTCCTGAAAGTGTAAGAATTTTCGAATTTGAAAATATGTTGTTAAGAATACTTTAAAGAAATGTCCAAAAAAGAATGATTACTGATTAAATAAAACAAAAAAAATTTTCTTCGTTTTAACAAGTCATAGGTACCAATAATGTAGTAAAGCCAGGGGTCTGTTTAGAAGAAATTTGGGTCCGTTAAGGCAGTGTTCCCCAACCCCCGGTCCGCGGACCGGTACCGGTCCGTGGATCAAATGGTAACGGGCCGCGCATTTCATTGAAACTGAATTTAAATTCCTAGGTTTATACCAAAAATTAAAAATATCTGTGTTCCATTATTTTATTTATTTAAAAAAAAAGGGTTCCCGAAGGTAGTGACATAAATTTTTTAACGTTTTAAAACGATTACCCCCAGATGGAACCATCTCATTGCAAAGAAACAAGCTCAGGGTTCCCATTAATTTATTGTTCTAGTAAATTAAAATGTTAAATCACTTTATATTTATTTTTTGGTGTAACTGTATTTTATTTTGAAGGCATGTTTAAATACAATTAAATTAAAATTAATAAATCAAAATAATCTGAAATATAAACAATCAACGTCCCCACCCCCTCCTACGGGCCGCGGTAAAATTATCAAACGTTGACAGGTCCGCAGTGATAAAAAGGTTGGGGAACACTGCGTTAAGGGACCGGACCCTTCGCAAAATATCTTTTCATAGAAACGGACCCTTAAATATTTTTACTTAACAACGGACCCTTCACAAAATAATTTATCTTTTAATCGGACCCTTCACAAATTTGTTTATCTTTATTATTGTTTTATTAATCGAATAAACCCTTCCCAGGAAGGGGGGGGGAGAAAGACAGATGTAAACGAACTAAGTTTTGTTTCGGCAGACGTTTCTTCCTTTATCGTTCGAAATGAATATTCTGCGTTCAGCAGTATAGGCTAAATACCAAATTTATGTTGCATCGCTAATTAAGTAGCTGCAATTGCTGTTTATTTTTTAAAATTTAAATTTTTCAATTATAATTTTACAGTGTTGAGTATATTCTTATATGTCTTTAAAATTTAAAAACTCCTTGAAAAAGTTTTTTTGCAATAACGGACCCTATTTGCACAAATTCACAAAAGCGGACCCTGGTTGAAAGAATGTGACTTAACGTTTATTTTATATTCACAAATTACGAGTAATTTTTTTTAACAATTTTACCGAAACAGACCTTTCACAAAATGTCTGGACAGACCCCTAAAAGCGTGTGTTGATGTACTCAGGTAATTTCAGATAGCTTTGCTTTTAATTTAATTCTCTTATTTAATACTCTAACATTTTGTCTTAGTCTTGTTTTATACCCTAGCTTCTAAACAATAATATTTATTTTTTTCTAATTTATTTTAATTATGTAAGAGGCTGCGCTCCATTTTAGCTATCGCTAGTCAACTCGCGAAACTATTCTG